CCCACCCAGTCACATGGCTGGCAAGCCACTCCCACCCAGTCACATGGCTGGCAAGCCACTCCCACAAAGCAGGCCACACCTACAGAAGAGGTTCTAAAAAAAATTTGAAACCCACCACTGGTCTGCATCTCTCAGCCTAGCCTTTCTCAGAGGTTGTTGCAAATGGAAATAAAATGGGAGGAAAAAGGACTACATACGCTGCTTTGAGCAGGAGAAAAATCTAGCTAATAAGATAAATAAGTAAGATATAGGAATAGGGTGGTTTTTAAGAACTTTTATTTAAAAGAGTATCGTCTTACCTTGTTAAATGCCTGCTTAACTCATGAACTTCCATTTCAGTGCTCTTAAATTCATTTAGCTCTTTGCGAATTGCTGCCTGCGTGGGACAAAAGAATAAGCGATTAGGCCAGCTGAAAAGAAATATGTGAGTAAACTACACGAGGAACAGCCGAACTCTGCTGCTAAGGTGAGGTTGTGGAAGATAGTTTCGTGTCATGTGTCACTCTTCCACGAGGAAAAGGATTTCAGGTGGAAGAGACACCCACCACACTCGTATACATGTCAATAAATGAGGAAATGTAGGCTTGTGTGGAACCAACCAGAATTATTATGCAAGTGCATGATAACAAAATTAACTAAAAAAACTAGAACTAAAAAATAACGAAAAAAAAATGGTAAACAGAAAGGAGAGGGGGAAAAAAAACACCATACAATTCTGGCTCCTCTTGGGTAGGTCTTATGAACTTTCAACTGGCAAGGATGATGTTGAAGTCACTGCCACAGAAAATAAATTTCACTACATCCTCTGGTTACTGGTTCCCTCCAAAAATATCTGAGATGTTTCTTCAGCTTCCTGGCTGTTTCTGAGGCTTGTCCTACTTACTTTGTCAGCAGCTGTTAGCCTTGTCCATGGTTTATCTGCCCGTCTGTCGTAGTCCTGAGCATCTGCCACTTCTACGTAATCACTAAAACGGATGAGGATTTTCCTCTCTCTCAACTCTTCCACTGTAGGCCTTTGACTTAGCTGTAGGAAGAGCAAAATAGGAAAAGAATATCCAAAATGTTCTTCTTTCCAAGCAGACATTTCCAAATGTCTTAAACAAAAGAGCCATCAAGGAAAGGCTGCTTTATTTTCAATGGCAATAGCAGTTAGACTTATATACCGCTTCATAGGGCTTTCAGCCCTCTCTAAGCGGTTTACAGAGTCAGCATATTGCCCCCAACAACAA